AAAGCAACAAAATTGTGCCCCTGTCCAACCATCTGACACCCATACAGACACTTTAGTGGCACACATAGACATACAGTACATAGCTAAACCTGACTGTAAAGAGGCACATCTGTACAATGCATACAATGTACTACAGAAAAACTGACATGTAGAAAAAAAACAAAAAACCTTTTTGCTGGTAAATTACATTTCTCTTGATGTGGGGTCCACCCCAAGATCAATATTAGACAATTATCCTTGATGAGGGTCTGGTATGGACTTTAAGGGGGGAAGTCCATGCAAAAAAACAACAAACAAAACTTACGTGGCGTTCCCCTTTAAAATCGAAAGCAGGCCCTATGGTCTGGTATGAATTTTATGGGACAAACCCCCCCCCCTCCCCCCAAAAAAATGGCGCGGGGTTCCCCCCTAAAATCCATACCAGACTCTTATGCAAGCATGCAGTCTGGCAGCCAGCATAAGTCCTCCCTCTTTTGAACCATAGCAGGGCACATTCCGTCAACATGGGGAGGGTGACTAGCTAGAAGCACCCCTCTGGCAAAGCACCTTGTCCCTTTGTTGAAGAGGACATGGGAGTCTGCAGATGGGGGCTTATCAAAATCTGAATGCCCCCTTAAAAATAGAGGGGCACCAGATATCTGCCCCACTTTCCCCACGTGAATACATCAGGGATACGTGATACCCCTACTCATTCATAAAAATAATGACAATGTAAATAAAGACCCTGAAACTTTTAACAAGTCCTTTATTAACATAAAAAAACATTAGCCACAATGCCCGTCCATTGCCAATCACATCATCCAGCGATGCAGATCCATCTCAATCGGAATGAAAGAAGCTGCTAAACCCACCAAAACAAAAACAAATGCTGGTCGCACACCACGATCCTAACCTGATGGACTCCTTGACACAAATGACAGCTCCTGGCCTGGCAGCTAAATATAGACGAAGGGGTGGGATCGCTGGTGAAGTCATTGACTAAATATAGGCATAGCTATATGTACCCAATGTCATTGAACACGTGTGGCTATGGGGTTATATTAAGTTAACAATGTCACCAGATTTCCCATTCATTTATTTACATGCAGCTGTCAGCTGGAGAATCTCCAGGGAATGTTGCTAAGGATGATAGGATAGAAGCCAGATACTTAGCAATGTTATATGTGGCTGAGACAATTTTGGTGTGGACGGCGGTACAAGGTCCAATCAATGGCTATAACCTTTTCTAGCTGTTGTAAACAGTATCTCACCGTTTTAACAGCTGAAGAGTGGTCCCACTAAAAAGAATGGTCAGCAAGGGAGCAATAAAGTGGTCAGGAAGAGAAGGGAGCAGTAAATAGAAAGAAGTGAGAAGAAAGGAATAGGGAAGGAAGGAAGAAGTGAATGAGGGATCTAAGGCGGGGTAAGGATTAGAAAAGGAAGAGAGGAAGGAGAAAGGGTGAAGACAATAAGAGACTAGGAGGAATGAAAGCATGCATTGCAGAAAAAGAGTAAGTAAGAGAGAGAAGGAATGGTGGGAAGGAGTCAAGTTAGGGTAAGAAACAAAGGAAGGAAAGGATCATTGGCAAGAATAAGAGATGGGGGATCAAAATAAATGAGGAGAGGGAGCACACACAACCCAGTATGGTGTATTCAGAGAGTAGGGGTACCATCCCTTCCATTATTTAATTTAGCTGATCCTACACTAATGACAACATTGGACACAATACAGATCTAAATATTATATACAGCAAGATTAAAGTGACATTAAAGGCTAAAGTCCCTCCCCCACCACTAATGTAAGGACTTACCGTAAATGATGCCTCTTAATCCGATCATCTTCTTCTTTCCTGTAGTTTTTTAAAAGCCAAAAACCCCCCCCCCCCCCACCCCCACAATGCTAAGGTAAGGACTTACATTAAATTATCCCTCTTAATCCGATCTTCTTCATCTTTCCTGTAGTTTTTAGCTGTCCCTCCAGCGCTGCTGTGGGTCTCTGATCCAGCGCTGACTCCTCTGTCCTCCTCTTCTCTGATGTCCCACGGAGTCTGTGCTGGTGCACGCTGCTCCGTATTCTTACCTTGTGTCTCTCTTCGTCTCCCGGCCGAACATCTGAACTGCGCATGCGCCCACCCCAAGATCCTTTATGGCCACCTGAGAAATTTTCAGATGTTCAGACGGGAGCGTGCGGCGGAGACACAGGTAAGTATTAACCCTTTTTTTTTTTATCGTTTTGCATATATCTACTGCTTGCATTGATTATAGTGAATCAATGATAAAGTCTGGCCTGTCTTGGCAAATGTATCAATGATGGAATATTAGCTAAAGGGTAATAGATGTGGGTATCCAGTTGGAGGCTAAGTGCTATGTGTATCCATGTGTGACAAGCATTTTGGTGTGTTTTTAATTGCTTATTAATAAACTTTATATTTTGTAAACTATGAAATATCTTAGCTGGGTACCTAAAAAGTGCACCTTATCTTGTACCCCTGTGTAATCATACATATATGAATTGAGTACCCTATAGGCCAACACACCTGTCGTAAACATAACTATATTGTAATGTGTGGCAAATACAGGATAGAAGTTGCAAGCTCAATGTGACTTTTACAATGTATATCTGCCAAAAGCAGCACTCATATCATCAACCAAGACTCAGACTAACATTTTGTGTAAGTACACTGCCACCCACTGGCTTTCATTCTGTTCCAGATCAATGTTGCAAAGTTCAGTAATCCACAGAAACCAATCATAATTCATGTCTTATCAGTATAGAGCAGGCAGTCAGAATGAAAGAACTGATTGGTTGTGGATCATCTCTGTTCCAACTTATTACATAAGGCTCCATCCACACCGGAGCCTTACACTGAATTTGTAAAGATGTTTAAGGGAAAAGTATTGAATTATTTTAATTTTGAAAATGTTAAAGGAGAACTAAGGATTTTCCCCATAGTTCTCTTAGGGTAACGGGAGGACACAAACTAGCTACAGCTCGCGGTATACTGAGACGCCACAACTGAAGCGGATCCCGACAATTATGTCTGGATCCGTCCAGCTGCGTGAGTGACAGCTGGCCCTGCCTATCTAAATGGCAGAGCCAGTTGTACCTGCCCCCTCCCCAGTCCGATCCGCCAGTCAGCGCTGGCGGATCGGAGCGGGGAATCCAGCCCCTCCCCTGTCACAGTTTCATTATCACAGGTCGGCTAGAACTATGAGGTGAGTGAAAATCACTCACCTCATAGTTCTTTAATCCTATTCTCTTTTTTTCTAACGCAACTTTTTTTTGTTTGGTTTATTGGTGCATATTTGTATGATCATGAAATTGTAGGGACTGCCTTTGTTAGCGCTCTGAAAGTTAGTTCAAACATGGTCCATGATGAACGACTGCGGCAAGAAAATAAATGACAATATAAACCACCTTAGAGAATTTTATTTCATGAAAATCAGCTTGCCTATGGACACTGTTGTGATCCTGTCCTACTTTTCCTGGGTGTGTGCCATCATAATTACACTGGTCCTCCTGTTGCTCATAAAACAGGATCTTGAAGGTATACCTGTCACCAACTTACCCAACAGCAGCAATATGTTTCAGGTACACCTATTGTCCTCCGCATCTTTAGTGTACAGCCCTTAATTAACCATTCTCACCTATAGATGTCTCTCTCCCTTTCAGAAAGCCACAATTCCATAAGAACACTGCTGTCTCTAAAATAATCAATGTATTATTTCATGTGCCACTAGAGTTAATATATACAGTATACCACCAGTGATACACCTACTGTACCTTTAGTCCCTGCCCACACCTGGGCGTTTTGGCGCTCAAATCTAAGCGTGACAAAACTCAACACAAGAAATCCCGTTTATTTGAATGGCTCCTGTTCACACCTGAGAGTTTTGTGGCAAGCTGTAAAAGGCATGACCGATGGAAAAAGGACATGAGCTTTTTTTTTGGCAGATCGCAGCGCGTTCGGCTCCATAGACTTCAATGGAGATGCAAGAAAAACACGCGATGCATGCGTTTTGCACATTTGTGTGCTTGTTTTTGCACGCGTTTGTCCATTCACCACAATGTCTTTCAATCTGCTTGTTAAAAAACGCGTATCTTAATGTACGCATGTTAGACATATGCAAAACGCGCAGAAATGAACACAAATTCGCATACACACGCAGACATGCCTCGGGTGCACCTACATGCGAAAACGACGATTGAGCCCATAGCGCCACACATGTTACATAGCACCAGAGACGTCAGAACATGAGCAATAATTTTCGGAACATCAATCAGTGATAACACTAAACTGATGAGCAGTAAAAGCTAATAAAGCTTCACATATGGCCAATTTTGGGTATAGTAGTTTTTTGCGATTTCGCGGGTACACACAATTTTAAAGCTTGACATGTTTGATATCTATTTACCCGACGTGATCCTGTCTTTTATATTTTACCAAAAATTGGGGTGATAATAAATGTTTCATAACATTTAATAGGGAAACAGGTTTTTTTTTAAACATTTTCGGTCCTTTTTTCGTTATATAGTAAAAAATAAATTATTAAATGATTAAATACTACCAAAAGAAAGCTCTATGTGTCCCCCCAAAAAAGGTATAACATTTGTTTCAGTACAGCGTTGCATGACTAAATAAATGTCAAAGTACCGCAGCGCTTGGACAGGAAGGAGGTATAAAAACCCTGGTCAGCAAGTGGTTAAATATTTAATGAACTCATATGCAATGAGCACAAGCTTTCAATGTGCACGTATGAGATCACAACTTTTATTACGCAAAGCCACCCATGCTGTATCACAGTGAATTCACAGCAGATCATCCTATACAACCTTCCCTAATCAGCAATCTACTCTCAGAGGTCTGGCCAACTATGCTCTGAATCACATGACCATAAGCCACAAAACCGGGAGCGAGCGCCGTGGCAGCGCACGGGAGCGAGCAAACGGTATGACGAAGGATCCCAGCCGTGGCATTGGGATGAAAACGAGTCGTGAGCCGCATTAAGGGGCGGGGCTACAGGAGTAGCTCTGTGCGCATGCTTTACTCGCCTTCACTGACGGTGTACTGCTCCGCCCGGGAAGTTTCTGCTCTGCGTCCGGAGCCGATGATCCCTGTGTTTATATCTTTACGGCAGGGCTCTCTGCCGTCCTGCTAAGCGGACAGTTCGGTCAGTCGTTACCAGGGAGGCACCGACAAGTGGGAGAAGAACCTGATGAGCAAAGAAGGCGAACAACTCGAGCGCTCCCCCCTCAGACTGGTTAGTGGTACTGCTAGGAGCTGTATGGCTTGATACCACAGACAGGGGACAGTGCTGCCTGTCTATGGAGGCTCGGACATATAGAGGAATGCGTAGGGGATCACATCAGCCCTATCTGGATAAGAGGGGGGGGATTAGTGCCATTTATAAAGTACACATAGAGGCCCTGGGCTTCTCCAGTCCTGGGATTGGGCACAAATGTTCAACATGTTTCCATTCACTGCAGCTCTCATCGTGGCCTTGTAGTTGGGGATTGAATCCTCCAGGATAGTGAGGCATGTTGTCACTTGGATTGTAGGCAGAGGGAAATAGGAGTGCTGATTGCAATACATGTTCTGACCGCCATACATGTTCTGATCAGCACCTATACTTCAGGTATATTCATTAGACCTAAACCCTAACTGGGTGTCCTGTCGCATTGTATATTGTAAACAATACCCCCCCCCCCCCATAAAATAATCTTTTATCCTTTCTGTATAAAAATGCTGCTTAAAGTGTTATCAAAACCTAATATTTAATCCCTTGCTGCTGGCCCTTTAAGTGGGCAATTTATGCTATGGAAAGGAGTTCCTAATGATGCCATTCTGTTATTGGTTGCACAGTGATTACTATAATTGGGATCCCATTCTACTGGCTTCTGATGATCGCTGCTTGACCATGAGTTGTCCATGACACATCGGTCTGTGTTCTGGGGTTGCCGATTGTCTACTAAACAGTTCACTTTACATACACTACCGGTCAAAAGTTATAGAACAACCCCATTTTCCCAGTTTTTATTGAGATTGATGCAGTTTGATGTCTCAATGTACTCTGAAAATAAAGCCTAGAACAAATAAACAATTGGAAATCCAAAAGAAATCATGCTATTGTTTTCTTTAACAAAATGTAGTCCACATTTATGACTCATCACAGTAGCCACCTTTTGCAGATATAAAAGTTGAACACACTTGTGGCATAATTTCTACAATGGGCGTCAAATATTCCGAAAGTTCTTCCCCAACACTGTTGCCACAAATGTGTTGCACTTACAGGTTGCTTTGCTTTCACCCTTCTATCCAGGTCATCCCAAACAAGTTTGATGGGGTAGTTCTAAGGTAGTTCTGACACCCTGGAGGTATGTTTTGGGTCATTATCTTGCTGTAGGATGAACCCCTGACCAACTAGACGTACACCAGAGGGTTTTGCATGGCCCTGCAAAATGCTGCGGTAGTAGTTTTGGTTCAGGGGGCCGCTCAATGTGCAAGTTGCCGAATCAGGATCCAGCAAAAGAGCCCCAGACCATCATGCTTCCTCTTCCATGTTTGACAGTTGGTGTTACACACCCAGGAACCATCCTTTCGCCTACTCGACAGCGTACAAAAATCCTGCGTGATGAACCGAAGATCTCAAATTTTGATTATTCGAACCACAAGACCTTCTTCCAGTCTTTACTAATCCACTAGCGGTGTTTCATGGCCCTATCAAGCCTCTTTTTTTTTTTCTTATTTTACCATCTTAGCAATGACTTTCTTACTGTCACTCGACCTGCCAAACCTGTAGCTTGACGTCTTCTCTTCACAGATGAATCTGAGACATGTTTACTTCAATCAGTGTGAAGCTACTGATTGTGTTAAGCTGTGTTTCAAGCTGTTGTCCTGTGAACTGCCTGTCATGCAAGCTGTTGACTCTCAGAAACTAGTCTTCTGATTCTGTTGTGGCTTTGGACCTGCCAGACTTCTTCCTGTCAGTTTTCTCCAGTTTCTAAGTGCCTTTTGATGGTGTAGGAAACTGTACTCACTGACACCTTGGCTTTCTTTGCAATTTCTCTAATACCTACACTTTCAAGGGTTAGAATGGTTGTCTTCCTTTCTTTGCCTTTTTCTCGCCATTTTGAGAGCAATATACTACTTCCTGCAGTACAATGCTGTCCCATATATTTATTAAGAGGGTGTAGTAACAGTCTGTTCCAACTCTGCATTTATACAGACAGAGGGCTTGTGAGTAATCCACAAAAGTTAGGACACCTGTAGGAATTGTTAGCATAAACTTTCAAGGCTTAATTTACTTGCATTGCTGCAGAATAAATGAGTTGTTAACCCATTACTTCTTCCCTGAAAAAGGCCTTTTTGTATAACTCTGAAATGCACATTCTTTTTCAGTTTTTGTAACCTAAACTTCTTTTATTTCACGTCTGGCAGTTTACAGCTTACCTTTGTACCATTTCAGGTTATTCATTGGTCTTAAAGGAGAACTATGGGGTCAGTGTTTTTCCCCATAGTTCTCCTTAGGGTAACGGGAGGACACAAACTAGCGTCCTCCCGTTACCCTAAGCTCAGTATACCGCGAGCCACAGCTCGCGGTATACTGAGCCGCCGGAGTGGATCCCGACATCGATGTCGAAATCTGCCCAGCTGCGTGAGTGACAGCTGGCTCTGCCTACCTAGAGGCAGAGCCAGCTGTACCCGTACCCTCCCCCGTCCGTTCCGCCAGTCAGCGCTGGCGGATAGGGGAGGGGGGAATCCAGCCCCTCCTCTGTCACGGCAAAGAGCCGTGACAGGATCGAGAGGTGAGCGAACGCCGGTATCTGTTCGCTCACCTCCCGATCTACTGAGCCAACCTGTGACAGTCTCAGTGTCACAGGTCGTCTAGAACTATGAGGTGAGTGGAAATCACTCACCTCATAGTTCTCCTTTTTAAACTGCTTACATTTCAATTAAAACTGGAAAAATGGGGGGGGGGAAACCTTTTGACTGGTAGTGTATATATGTGTGAGGCTGGTGGCAACAGGTTAATATAAATTAGATCAGCTGACCCCTGTGCCCACTTTGTGTGCTGCCTTTTCGTTAATAGCTTGCCTTCTTAGTTGAGCTAGTTCAGAGATCGCTTCCCTGGGTACCTGGTTTTCTTTGCAGGGTCCTTTGGAGCCACCCTTTCTTGTGCCCTCCCGGGAGAGGTAATCCAAGCCCATGCTTGACTGCGCTTGCATGCACAGGCAGCCAGGGAGGACTAGATGGGGAACACATGTGGAATTATGGGACATGTAGTCCCGAGTAGGTAGATCAAGGGGACTTTCTGTGAAGTCATAAGTGCGTGATCCCTGACCAGAAGCTCAGGGAATCGGCTCACAGGAACCCGGAGATTGTGGTGGCAAAGACAACAAACTTTTCTTCTTTAAAGACTTGTAAAAATCTGGATTTATGAAAAGTGCTTAAAACCCTCAAACGGTTAATTTCTGAAAGCAGAGGCCGTGTAGAATTTAAAAAAAACATTGGTTGCAATTTTTATGTCGCACAACATTTGCGAATGTTTATTACATTTTAAGTAGTCCTAAAGGCTGGGCGTTTTTTACCTTAAAGGAGAACTATGAGGTGAGTGCTTTTCACTCACCTCATAGTTCTAGCCGACCTGTGACAATGAGACTGTCACAGGTCGGCTCAGTAGATCGGGAGGTAAGCGAACACATACCGGCGTTCGCTTACCTCTCGATCCTGTCACGGCTCTCTGCCGTGACAGGGGGAGGGGCTGGATTGCCCGCTCCGATCTGCTAGCGCTGACTGGCGGAACGGATGGGGGAGGGGGCGGGTACAGCTGGCTCTGCCTCTAGATAGGCAGAGCCAGCTGTCACTCACGCAGCTGGGCGGATCCTGTCGTTTTAAGTCGGGATCCGCTCCGGCTGCGGCGTCTCAGTATACCACGAGCTATAGCTCGCGGTATACTGAGCTTAGGGTAACGGGAGGACGCTAGTTTGTGCCCTCCCGTTACCCTAAGGAGAACTATGGGGAAAAACACTGACCCCATAGTTCTCCTTTAATGCATTTTCTGCAGGGGGTGGGAGGGACAGCGATGTGTGAACCAAATAGAGAATGAGAAATTGAAAAATTTTAAACAAAAAGAACGGAGGATTTGCAAGTGTGGGCCTCCCATGCTGAAAAATAAAGAAAAAAAGTTTTAATATCACCAATACTTTTATGGAAAAAATACATTAAATTAATTTTAGTGCACACAAACAGAATATAATACCCAATTTTTGGTAAATGTAAAAGATGGGGTTGTGTTGGGTAAATAGATACCAAACACTGCTCGGGCCGGCCGTTTTTTTACTACGGCCGGCCCGGAGGTGGTTAAGGAATAATGCCCCCCCCCTCCCAATGCTGGTGTAAGGACTTACCTTAAATCTTGCCTCTTAATCTGATCATCATCTTCTTACCTGTAGTTTTCAGGAGTCCCTCCGGCGCTGGTGTCAGTGTCGGATCCAGCGCTAACTTCTCTCTTAACTGGCACTTCCTCTCCCACGGAGTGCACGCTGCGGCATTGACTTACCTTTTGTCTCTCCTCGTCTCCCGGCCGAAGATCTGAACTGCGCGAATTGGGCTACAGCTCGCGGTATACTGAGACGCCGGAGCGGATCCCGACTTAGACGACAGGATCCGCCCAGCTGCGTGAGTGACAGCTGGCTCTGCCTATATAGAGGGGGCTAACAACAAGCCCTCTACGTGGTAGCATAATGAAAGAGATCGTTCCTCTTTACGGGGGTTTGACAACTATTGTTACCTATGGACCCCATTGAAGCTGATGAAGCACAGATTGTGCTTCAGCAACTTCTTCTCTGGCCACAGCTGCTCGGGGAATGACGGTTCGAAACCAGAAGTGACCAAATCCTCGCTTCCGAGTGTATTCAGATCGGGCAGTAAGCGTGTGCTCATCTCCCTGCGGTTCACCCACCGACACCTGCCATGCTGGTCTTGGGACAGCAGAGCCCAGGATACATGGCTGTGGAGGGGGGGGTGACACCTTCTTACGCCCGTACAAGTGATCCGGGCAACTCTACAGCTGTATTTAGTGTATTAGCAAATTACGTTACATTTTTACTTGGCCACTTGGTAGAATATACTTCCTGCAGTTCTTCTTTAAAGGGTTAGGAAACTTTCAAAAACATTTTTCTGAAAGTCTACCTATCCTTTTTTGCCACCCTCCACCGAGCTGATATAAACCACCCTAAAGCTCCATACTTGCCTAATTACCTTGGCTGGCCATGTTTACTGCCAGCTGGTCCTCTTCTCTCCCGTACCTGCGTGTCTTTCAGAAGATGGGAGAAATCGCTGTAGAGGTCTATGGGTTTTAATGCGCCGAGAACGGGAAAAACATCACAGTTGGACAGGATACCAAAACTAGGAAAGTATAGAGCTTCGGAGAGGGGTTTCAGGCTAGGGCATTGTGGTGGCAAGAAGGGTAAGGAAACTGTCAAAAGTTTCCTTACTTTTTAAGGGCAGTGCTGGATGCCTGAAGTTTTTCCTTTTTTTTAAGCTCTGTAGATTTCTTTGAAAATCAGTTACTGGGTCATAGTAGCAGGAAAATATATATCTGGGAGTATTCTGCACAGAAACTGTGTACAGAATGCCCTCAGTGTTGCTATGGTTGCAAGGAAGTCTTGATTTATTTTTTTTTCTGAATTTCTTGGCAGTTGTATAAGCCATAGCTGGCTGCATATAGAAATGTTAATATGAAGATATTTCTGCATTGTTTCAGTCTGTTCTACACTACTATGATCCACTTTAATGTACGTCACTTCTGCAATCCTGTCGCTGGCAGCAACAATGACAGGACCACTAAAAATGCAGTGAAGGCAAATAGGTGTTGCTTGTTTGCTGACTGGCTGGATGAGCAAGGTGTTGCTTGTTTGCTGACTGAAAGGCAGCAGAATGTTACTTGTCTGCGAGAGAGCAACCTCTAGCTCAATCAGCAGGGACCTATGAAAACTGGTGAGTATTTGCGTGCCTTTCCTTTTGCCTGCCCTGGATTGCAAGCCAGTCGCTGGCGAGTTGTCCCCAGTGCCAGGATCAGATGTCTGACTAATGGGCCTAAGGCATCTTAAAAGGTTTGTTTCTACTTTAACAATACAAAGAGCTCTATGTATTTAGACATGTTGGCAAATTGATTAGTTATGTGTTCAGCACTTGTTTGATATATCCTATCTTTGTATATTCTAGAACTACAGTAAATTATTTTAACCATCATCTTGATGTATTTTCTTATTTAAATTACTACATTGTTTGGAAATTCTGGCCACAAATGTATACTTATGTCTACTTTTGTCTTTTTAGTGATGACATCACAAAAAAGGAGGTCATCTTTGCCGGGGAACACTGCAGAGCGCCAGAAGCTTAACGAATGTGAAAGCCATTGTGTTACTTCTAAAAAGAGACATGTCGTTAGCAAAGCTAAAACAAATCCGAATACAGCGCAGAAGAAGCAAGCGACAAAAGCACCTGCAAACAAAGCCATTAACTCAAAATCATCCAAGGCAGAAACAGGGCGAAAAAGTACAGTTTTAAAAACTACCAAAAAAAGTGCTGCAAAAATTGTGCCTGCAAAGGGTAAAAGCCTACGTTTAGCCAAAGAAGTGACTTCTTTAAAAAAGGGTACACAGAAGTCTTCCAGCTGTGCTTCAAAAGCACTGAAAAATAGTCCGTCCAATGTCGGCAAAACGGAGCCATCTGTGCAAAATAAAAGTAACAAAATAACAAGAAGCTCTAGCAAAAGTTCTGCTTTGAAACTAACAAAAACGGTTAAATGTGTGAAAAAGAATGGCAGCGCAAAAACCAGACGGAAATCTGATTTAAAGACTGTAGGTGTAAAGAAAACTGTCAAGAATACAAGCCATGGCACTCAAAGCAAATCTACACAGAAGAAAGCAACAAAGTGTGATATGCAGCCAAAATGTAATAAACAAATAAAAAAAGTCATCAATGTAAAGAAACAAGCTGTTCCTACTTTAAAAAAGCAAGCACCAGTTAGAAACGCAACTGCTAAAAAATCAGAAGAGGAATCCAAGACAAAAGCACATAAGCCAGCACGAGCTGTTCAGAAGACAACTGGTACACGCAACATGGGGATTAAGCCATCACAGCCAAATCCACAGCTATCAATCATTCCTGTGGTGTCTAAAAAGAAGATTGAAGACAAAACTAAGCGAGGAGGTACAAAAACAACTCCCAAGAATTCAAAAGTAAGACCTAGAGAGAAAATAAAAACTGCAGAAGCTAAAAGTGTTAAGAGAAGTTGCCCTGTCAACCAAAGCAAGAACTCTGTAAAATCTAAGTCTGTCTCCAAAAGTAGTGTAGAGAAAGAGATTACAGTTGGTAACATGTCTGTTTCTTGTTGTAGTTCTAATCAAATGTTGGATTCATCCTTGATTGGAAAAATATCCAGTGGAGACAAAGTTGTAGTAAACATTTTGTCATCTGCAGCACCATTAAAGCGTAAAAGGAACAACATAAAATCTATGGACAGCACAACCAAAAGTAAAGCAAAAAAGCAGAAGGTTGTCCAATCGGAAGCCAATAAAAAAAAGGATACACCTTCTGAAGATGACCAGAAATCTAAGAGAGTTAGTATCTTGGATTTATGCAATGAAATAGCTGGAGAAATAGAATCTGATACAGTAGAAGTTGTAAAAGGACCAAGTTCTCCAACTAGCCCTACCAAGGTAAAGCTTGATGATGAGAAAGTACAAAACCTGGCAGACGTCTCTCCACCTGCTGCTGAAAAAAGTCCAGTCAACCAATTGAAACGTTTTTTTCCAAGTAGAAAACCACTGCAAACCAAATGTAAACTGGAGAAGAAAATTAGTCCTGGAACAATGAATTCTAAGTGGAACAAAATCAAATTCAAAAATAACTTTGCTCAAAATAATATACTCCGAAAACGAACTGTGCTTCCCAGTCTTGAGGCGATTAAAGCAAAAATTTCACAAGGGCGACAACCGGCATCTGGCATCCCCGTTTCACCAAACAGCAAGACATCTGATACAACATCATCAACGCAGAATAGGCAAACCAAACCTGCTCTGTTTCAAAAAAAAAAAGGGAATACTACTCTGATACCTGGAGGTGGAGATATGTTGGAAAAGACATCTGCAGAAAATGGCCTCCTGGAAAACCATATAAAGCATGAGCTTGAAGCAGCACTTGATGAGGTAATAATGTGGTTATTTATGGTTTTATCCCTTGGATAATGTGTAGTAGATTTTGTGATTAACCACTTTCTGCCAATTAGGAAACTTATCGACTGCTCTTATATACTGTATACTCAGTCAGTCTACTCACAGCTGGTTTGGCTTTGTTAGATGTTGGAGATTTAAACTATTTTTGTTTCTTAGCGACTCTGAAAGTCAATTCTTTGCCTTTGTTCCAAAGCTTGCACCCTCCTGGAGCCTCTTAAGAGGTTCCTCTCCTTGTTGAATTTTTAAGGAGAACCTGTGTTGAGAAATATGTAAGTTGACATTGCTGGCCTCCCTTTATGATCATACTAGTTGGCTGTCATGCTCAGATCCAGTGGCTGTTGTCATTTGAGACACTCCCCAGAACAAATTTGCAGATCAGGAGTTCTAACTATATTATCGACATGCTTCTGTCAGCTCAGTGATTCAAAGTATTGAAGCAAGACTGCCAAGAAACTAACATTCACAAAAGCTTCTTGGTAACCAGAATAAATTAACAATTGTTGGCTAATTTGGCAATAACTTAATAATTCACCTACCTAAATAAATATCACATTTTAAAAAATAAAAATTACCTCTTGGGTATCTCCAACATTCATTAGCTAATTGTCCAAATAGATTTAAAAAAAAAAATAACCCAGATTTTTTTTTAACCTGAAATTGTAGTTATATGACAGGCTGTGTCCGGATTGTTTCTTCCTTTGGGCTGTGGTGTGAGGGGGGTCATACTTCTAGTGTGCACGTCACTGCTTGGTAGTTTTGGCCACTTTCTATTCGTTGTAAGAGTTAATTGGATTAAGTACTTGCAGGGTCCTGGGGAAAAAGAAATTGGGAAAAAAAATGTATTTGCATACATTCGGCACGGTCTTCTTGAAAATGTTCTTTCTCTGTGCAGTGAGTGTACACTGAAAGACTGGGACAGCTGTAGCTGGTAGAGGTTTGTTTACTCGCAGACCCAATTTAATCACCATGTAATAGCTTTCACGGTCATCGCATGATTGGGAACCTCACTGATTGCTTCCTGATCATTAGCCAAGGCCATAGCTTTCGGAGACTGTGTGGTGTGACGGCTAATCACATGCGTCCAGCTGTCAAATTGGGAATGCAGATTAATAATGTGGATAATTTTACAAGAGGAAGTTGTGTGTGTGTGTCCGCTCAAAATTCCAACTCAGAGTTGAGAGCTGGCATTTGCTGGTAATATGTGAAGCTGACTTAGCCCACTAAACTTTATATTTATTAGAAATCACTTCTGATTTGCTGAAATAATTTTTCTTTCTCAGCCTTTAACCTCTTGCCGTCCGCCCGTAGTAAAAAAACGGACGGACGGCACTGCAGCATTTTTTTCTGCTCGCGCGCGCCCCCTAGCGGGCACGCACGGGCAGAAAAGACCCGATCAATGCACACACCCGTTACCGGGTGTTTCACATATAGGCGATCAGCCGGTCCATAGCCCGCCGATCGCCTATATGTGCTCGTTCGCGGACCGGCTCCGAGGGCGTCAGGAGGAGGAGGACGGGAGATCAGCTCCTTGCTGATCCCCGTCCGGGCTGTGAATGCAGAAGTGATGTGTATTACATCACTTCCGCATTCACCTGTCAGTCATCTGGCTGCTATAGCCAGAGAGAAGAAGCTGATAAAGCAGATCTCTGCTTCATCAGCTTCTTTTGGGGTCCACAGGTGATATTAGGGGTCCTAGAGACCCCTAATATCTCCATAAAGAGGACCTGTCAGTGTGCCTTTGCTATTATATAGGGGGTTGTTATCCCCCTATATAATAGCAATAACAATAAGTGCAAAAAAAAAAAATATAAATAAAAAAAAATAAAAGTAACACATAAAAAAGTAAAATAAAATAAAAGTCACATATAAAAAAAGGGGAAAAAACCCCCCCAAAATGTTTAACTCCCCCACCCCCACGTTTACGCGCCTATAAACGTAAATACGCGTCCGGTGCCCCAGCGCGCAAAAATTACAATTGCGCTACACGTTACATATCGCCGCGAACGTCGCAGTGAGAGAAATCATTTTAGGGCCATCAATCACTGATAACACTAAACTGATGAGCGGTAACAGCTTTTAAAGCGTCGCCTATGGCCAATTTTGGGTATTATCGTTTTTTGAGGTTTCGCGCGCGCACGCAATTTTAAGGCTTGACATGTTTAGTGTCTTTTTACCCGACGTGACCCCATCTTTTATATTTTACCAAAAAATTGGGTAATAATAAATGTTTTATCATTTAATATAGGGGAAACTGTTTTTTTTTGTGGTGAAACATTTATTCAGTGGTGAATAAATACCACCAAAAGAAAGCTCTATCTGTCCCCAAAAAAGGGTATAAAATGAATTTCAGTACAGCGCTGCATGACGGAATAAATGTCAGTTAAAGTACCGCAGCGCTGAATACTGAAAAATGGCCTGGATGGGAAGGAGGTTTAACACCGCGGATGTCAACTGGTTAAGGGACACAAAGTATAGACATTTGGGTTATACTGTCGCCTACAGGAGGATTTGGATACTGGCAAACAAAAAAAAAAAAACAGTAACCAGCCCCGTATAGCCCATCTCACTTTCACAATGCCTCATTTTTTTTGCTAGTATTCTAAGAGAATTGAAATTTTTTCTCTACTAAGAAATGCTGAACCATTTTTGCCAGCCATTTTTTTTTTTTCTTCAAGCAGGGTTCTTTTACAAGCTGCTTGAGAGTCTCTATATGCAGCGATCAAAGTATCTTCAGCATTAGCTTTGGAGGCTGTACCCTGACCTAGCTGGAGTAAGCACTTGCAGGGTTAGCCTGGAATGCGATCTTTAGGCACTGGGCTCCACATTGTGGTGCTTTCCAGACCTAAGAGTACTATATTGGTTAGCTGCAGAGCGCTTTCTGGGTCCAGAGCTATGGCACAGCCTCTGTTGTGACGCAGTCTCTGAAAACTCTTTGTGAATAAGACTGTTGGTTGCCATCATTACTCCTTTTCCCACTGGTTTATAGTGAAAAGGATTAACATTAAAGGATTGTGTGCTGAAAGAATCAATTTTGGTGTTCTGCACTTTGTCCTGCCATTTAGGATGCGAGGTAACACATTAACACCTGCTCTTATCACAAGTGACCCTGGGATCCTCCTCAGTTAGTCTTTGCTGGCCACATCTGAGCACCTCCTAGTGTCCAGGTTGCCGCGCGGATATAACCCCATTCATTGGGGCCATGTGGCAAATGCTGTGTGCAATCGCACACGAACTTGCGGTCCCGGGACGCGCATCCTGGGATTGCCCAAGTTTGCACCTGGCCTTAAGGATAACTTGTTCGAAAGGTACAGTTGTCCATTAACTAAAGCAGAATAAGAGGCTGGTAGAAAGCAATTTAAAAGGAATGCACACGGGGTTATTCACAGAAGGGTGAAGAGTTTGTAGAAGGCAGGAAAAGTAAACAATCTAGGGCAAAATAGCTGATTTGGAAACATTCTCCACTTCAGCTCACTTCCCAGTTCAGCTATGTTGTCCTAGATTGCTCACTTCTCCTGCCTTCTCCAAACTCTTCACCCTTTTGTGGAAAAAAAAACATGTTTACAGAGCTCAAAACCTCAAGCTTACATTTAAAAACATGACTGAGTCAATGGTAGTCTCATCCCTTCCTCTGTTGAGCTGATCTGTGGAATTAGTTGTATCATACGGGGTTATAGTTGAGAGACCATGCTTTGCGGTAATATGAATGCTACTAATTGGTTTTAAAAAAAATGGAGTCTCTTGCATGCTGTTTGTCATCATGGCTTGTACAGTATATATGATGTATCTTTCTATTTTGATTCGCTTAAATTGTTTGTGCCTAAAATAACAATGGTACCTGTCTCTCGCCTTACTCCGGTAGGGTTTCAGATTACATTTGGATTCAAGTCCTGAAAATACTCCATTGAAGAAATCCGTAGTGTCCTCTTCACCAGAGCTCAAGCCACCACTCATTCAAAGTAAGTGAATAGCTCTTTAACTGTACATATTACCAACATATCATTAACCTCTTGCCGTCCGCCCGTAGGAAAAAAAAAACACGGACGGACGGCACTGCTACATCTGCGGGTTGCCGTCTCCAGACGGCAATTTTTTTCTGCTCGCGCGCGCCCCCTCCCCAGTGGTGAATAAATACCACCAAAAGAAAGCTCTATCTGTCCCCAAAAAAGGGTATAAAATTCATTTCAGTACAGCGCTGCATGACGGAATAAATGTCAGCCAAAGTACCGCAGCGCTGAATACTGAAAAATGGCCTGGATGGGAAGGGGGTTTAACACCGCGGATGTCAACTGGTTAAAGTGTTTGTCAAGCCAAACGTTTTAGTTTTCTTGGTACAGTGTTTTTTTATTCACGCAGAACTTTTGTTTTCTATAGCCCTATGCACACAAAACATAAAGGTCAGTAAATTTGCATTGCATTCAGATCCATAAAATCAAAATGGAAAAATCTGCATCAGAGGTCAGTAAATTACATGTGTACACATTAGAGATGCACCAAAATGAAATTTGTAAAACTGATTAAATATTAGGGGTCTAAACAGACCCCTGATATTTCCCTTTCAAAATAGAAAGATAGATTGAGGACACAGAGTCTATTTTTCTGCAGCCTCTGTTATAAATGAACAGGAATCCTTTATACTGAGTGTTGCTGTTCATTTATAACTTGTGGACATAGTATATTTGCCATGTCCACAATCATGAATGAACAGGAAGTGATGTAGATCACTTCCCATTCATTCATAATTGGGGACACAGTAAACATACCATGTCCTCAGCGAGCGGTGCCGGGAGGAGAGCTCGGTTTTTTGTGACAGCTGACTTCTCCTCTGCACCGCCGGGCCTGTGAAAGCTGTCTCCGCCCCCACGCTGCTCTCCTGATCTGTCGTACGCCGGATGTTCACAGCGCTCTCCTCTGCCACACTGCTCGGCCTCCTGTGACCGTTTCTCTCATCCCTGCTGGACGCTGTGCTGTGTCACAGAGCAGCACCCAGCGGGGAGGAGAGAAACTAGTAATGCACTGAAATTTTGCTCAACAGATGGCACTTTCGGCATTTTGCCGAAAGTGCCATTTTCGGCCGATCTGTTTCGGCAGTCGAAATTTCGGTGAATCCCTAGTTATCACATATAAGCGAATGTACACAAGTAATTTTGAGCTAGAAAAGTACAAGATACGTTTGCCCATCTAAATGCGTCTTAAGGCTAGATTCACACCAGGTGCGTTGGGGCTGCGTTGGCCGCTTTTTCCAGTGCAACACCAGGCCAGACAAGGCAATTTTTCATGTTTTGAAAGGGCCCGTTTCACATCACTGCATGCAGCACAGTGGGCCATGGCAAGGTATAACCTTATCACACTGCTCTGTGCCCATAGAACTTAATGAAATGTCACTCATGACATTGCAGTAAAGTTCTAATTGGCGCATCAACACTGTGCCTGGCAAGACACGCTAGCAACTGTGCATTGTGGTCCTTACTGAAACACTTTACTGATCATTAGGTGCGTTTTTTATTATTTTTACACAGGATCTTGTTGCCCGCCTCTGCCAGTAAGAAGCCTGTATAAATATCCGTAAACTACGGCCATCTGCACGAGCCCCTAGAACTCCTGTCTTGCCGTCCGTCCGTTTTTTTACTACGGGCGGACGGCAAGAGGTTAATGCTATCCACTACTTCATTAGAGATTTCTCCTTGCTGTCACACTGTCAACTGATTCACCAGACCGCATTTGAGGGAAAATCTGCAACAGTGACACAGACACATGAAAAACGTTTGGGCAAGGTGCTAGCCTTTCACTGCTTTACTTAAATAAAATGAAAAAATGTTTGTGCTAATGATGCAGATTTTGTATTGCTTCCTGACTGATAGAACTGTTGTCAGCAGGAAAGGAGGGGAAATCAAAAAGTAAAAAGAAAGGTTTGACATACACTTTACACAGACTATGGAGGTCTAATTTACAATGATTTATGTTTTACAGCTCATCTGTTAAGGGGTTTGTGTACAAGGGTATCTAACTCATGGGGCAAATGTAAAGGTTTGAGATTGTCAGAAAGTAAGATGATTAAAAATAGGGAGGGCAACCTTTTCAAACATGGCTGACCTTTTATCCTGTTATCTTATAAAGAGAAAACCACTGACTATACCAGCCACAGCAGCTGAGGCAGTCATGGGCTGCATGTCAGATTTACATAGGTGTCTGATCTTCCGTTTTTGGTGTGGGTACTTTTCACATTATTGTGAACATTAACCCCCGTTCTTTTTTTTTTTTTGGTCTGAAAGACAGACATGGTATCCCTGCCATAGCCTCAAACTCTGTTGCTGACCACTTTATGGTCCTACCTGGTTTAATGGTTATTCCCACTCCTCCTAAATTGCAAAATGCAAGAGTTGCAGCCATTAGCAATCACCATGGTGTTCTTGCAGACCTGCACAAATCATTCATCCCCAGTGTATCACAGACCTGTTAAGATCAAGATAAAATAAAACTGAAATATCAGGGTTCGGTTGGGTGAGAATGGTTTCAGCTTAATGTAATCTTTTTAAATTATTGTTCTATATTATTGTTGTCGTTTGTACTGATGTACTGCAAGACGGCAACTGGTGCTGTTACCGTAGATTATAGTGTAAAGGTTTTAAGATGCTGATTCGTATAATCAATGGGAGTGCTTGATGAATGAGATGTGGATATTGAAATCTATTTCAGGCAGTGATTGCAAGCAGCTGACAGAGCAGATGGCTGCATCTGCTGAGAGAGGGTAAGTGCTAAGTCAGTATTTAATGGTTCTGTACTACACTCATGATGCGCGGGTGTTTTCTGTGGCAGTATAGCAAGTAATGAAGCCAAGCATCATTGTGAAAAATGGGCTGTATTCATCTTGACGCTTACAGATGCATTTCTTTTGTTTAACCCTTTCACTGCCAAGCCCCCGAATGCTTTTATCCTCAGCTGGCCCCACCATTTTTAAAAATGTTTCCATTGTTTTGACCCTCTATTGCTGCTGCTAGCATTTAAGCGCTGAGGCTGGGTTCACACCTAGGCGTATTGAATATGCACGTTTTTACAGTGATTCGCGGTACAAAAACGCGCGTTTCCGAGGGCTACTTGGCTGTATCCCAATGGAAACGCGAGACCAAAACGCCCCAAAGAAGTACATGTACGTAGGCCGTTTTGTAGCGAGTTCAGACGGGCTGAAATACGGAAAGATGTGAACCATACCCATAGAAAACAATGGGATTTTCAAGTTTGTACATTTTGTAGAGCGTTCATAGAGCGTTGAACGCGCGACAAAACGTAAAGGTGTGAACAGGGCCTAAAGCGACCATGAGCTTCTAGCAGAAGAGAGAAAGCCGCCGACGTATGGCATACTGACGTGACCAGCTGGAAACAGTTGTGTTCTGTTGTATGCCATATGTCGGTGGCAGGGAAGGGGTTAAAAACTATTTTAATGGGCAGTATTGTTGCGTAAGTTTGCTGATATAACCTTTTTTTATTATTACTTCAATATACAACATACAGGGACCTAAACAGAAAGGAATCTAGAGCAGAAGAAACCATACATGTATTTAAATCATTTTCTTTGATATTTATCATTGAAACAATTTAAGGTAGCGGAAGGCTAGCTATAGTTGAATTAATTGCTAGTGTGCGTGTGTGTACATGCTAGAGATATGTGCGCCTGTTACACATTTGATAATTTTGTAATGTTATTGTCATAGGAATGTAATTATTTGGCTTGACTTGGCCTCTGTTCTATCCAAAGCAAAAAAATTTGTTTTGCTTGAGTTACGCTTTTTATGTCTCAGGAGCCCTAGTGTTATTAAAAAAAACTCACTATAAATATAAATCAGAAATGGACACCAACATTTCTCTGCAGTTGTTTGTAGCCATTTGTGTATGTATTGCGTCTGTTACAGGGTTTTTGTGAAACGAGATGTACCAGAAACGAGATCAACTAAACCAGCCTCCGATGCAAGCATTCAGAAAGAACTCAGAAAAATGAAAGAGGCCAGCAGTGATAGCACCAAGCAACCCATCATAGTAAGTGTGGGGGCCTCAGGTCAAATACAATGCAGTGGTGTATTACTGTATGTGTGGTTATCGTAGGGCAGAGGTCTCAAAGTACCTGCCCGCGGACCAGTTGCGACCCTCGAGCCGGTACTATGTGGCCCGCAGCCAGCTCACAAGTCAGGTACGCGGTCACGGACCGCGGACTTGCAGACCGCATAGCTGCTTCTGTGCCGCCACTCGGATCCTTTCGGCCAGCGTCTTCACTGAACGCTGGCCGAAAGGATTGATTAGTAAGGTCTGCAGCAGACCTTACCAATCCACCACTAGATCACCAGGCATCGATCGCGGCTCACAGCCTCCTCCCTGTAACAAGGTAAGCAGGAGAAGGGGCTCTGTACCACATTGGGTGCGGGGGGAAGGGACTGGGAATTATATTTTATATGTAGGGGGACAGGGGACTGGGAATTATAATTTTTTATATATTTTATGTATGTATTTTTTCATGTGTATGGGGGGAGGAGTGTATTATTTTATATGTGCAGAGGTAGTATTTTTTGTGTGGGGGTGTATTATTTTATATGTGCAGGGGTAGTATTTTTTTTATGTGTATGGGGGAGTAGAAGTGTATTAGGCCCTATTCACACCTGTATCTTTAGGTGAAATTAGCGATTCCTGCAGCAGGAATGCCTAAGCTGGTGTTTACAAGCGGCAGCTGTCACCCATTCAAGTTAATGATCAGGTGACAGAAGTTGCATGTAAACGCCTGCACACCACATGTAATTGTGTGTGATTTGATTACATTCGGTTAGGAATCAATCACTCTCCCAGTACGCAATGATTGTGCATCCAATGAAAGTGTTTTCTAACTGCATGTAATCATATCACATATCATTACATGCGGTGTGCAGGCGTTTACATGAAACTTCTGTCACCTGATCATTAACTTGAATGGGTGACAGCTGCCGCTTGTAAACGCCATATAAGACCCCGTTCACATGTAGCGTCATACCTTTGCAGCGGCCAGGATACCGCGACTTTCGGGGCGACGTTAGCGCGACCTTCTCCGTCGGGCTCCATAGAAAAAAAGCAAAATCCGCCGAAAAAGGGTCCGGTAGAAGCGACTTGCGACCGCGACGAGCGACATGGAGTTAAGAAAGCTCCATTGAATAGCATTGGCCTGCGACTTTTCGCGATATTGTGCGGCAAAAATGCGCGATATCGCGGCGGAAATCGCGCGACAAGTCGCTATATGTGAACGGGGCCTTAGGGATTCCTGCTGCAGGAAAATGCAAGTTTCTGACGCAGGATCCCTAATCGCACCTAAACCTACAGATATGAATGGGGCCTTATTGTGTGTATATTAGTGTCCATAGTACCAAACCGGATATAATTACATTTTTATTTTAAGGTATAAAATTTGGCAAGCGGCCCCCATGGGGGAAATAAATTTGTTGAGTGGCCCCCGAGTGAATCGAGTGTGAGACCCCTGTCGTAGGGTATCTATGATTACATTAAAAGTGAAAATAACAATGATTTCTGTCACTATTAATGTAGCCATTGTATGTTTCTATTATGTGTGTGTATGGATGGATCTTGAACTGTTTATAGTCATGAAGCTTGTCATCCATGACCAGCTGCTCACAGGACATGTGAGTTGTAGTCCTTCCCTGAATGGTCTAAAGAGAGCTAGTAACTTTCTCTTTCACTACTGGAAGATTTTGCCAACATGAACAGTATATAGCAGATCAGATCTGACACAAAGTTGATGGGTCCCCAGTATTATGACCTCTGAAATATCCCTCCGGTGTCTGAACAACATCCTCTGACATTCTCCTCCCACCATCCACACTACATTTTGTGGCAGCTCCCGTCCTGTTCATTGCCAATTCCTCCTTCTCCCCTCATCCACACTCGATCACAGTTGGCCTGACAAATTAATTTTAATGGCACCCCAAATGCGCCTCCCACCCACAGTGTGATCGCCTGCACTGGAACGCACGGTACTGCAATGCTGTGCATTCCAGTGCAATTGCAAAACAAATTGTGCATGCTGTTTTATTCTGAAGTAAACTTTGTAACACTGCAGTTTTGTATTTTATTTTAAATTAGGGATGGTATTTAATTATTTTTTTCATCTGATCGAAAAAATCAGCCAACTAATCGATTATGAAAATAATCATTAGTTGTGGCCCTACTTCTCTTTGTCTCCCCTCACTGTCCGCATTGCACCACCATGGCTGAGCCCCCTGGCTGCTGCCTAGTCACGGTTTTTGTGTTGCAGCATGTCTGGTATTTATTAATTTATTACAGGTATTTATATAGAACTGGCAATTTTATGCAGACTTTTACATACTGCACATTTTTATCAGTACCTGCCCTCAAGGAGCTTACAGTCTAAGGTCCCTATGGCACACGCATATAGGGCCAATTTAGACAAGAGTCACTACTTCACACACCAGTCTCTCTCTTCCCCCAGTTCTCAATTAGTCTCTCTCTCTGCCTCCTCTATGCCTTTCAGTCCATGAGCAGTTTCTCCTCTGTATCCTCTCCCATCTGTTACCCCTCTCTCTCCCCTGCACCCCTTGTCAACAACAATCAGCTCTTGGTCTGCCTCTTCTTTCCCCTGTCTGTGAGCAGCCTCTCTCACTCATTTGTGATCATCTGCTTATGCCTCTTCCAGGGATTTTATCCCACATATTTTGCCTGCTACTCCCTATTTCTAATTGGATGCTACTCTGCCATCTCTGCCCCTCCCAATGCTTCACGGTCTTTTTTTTTTTTCCTTTACACGTCCTGCTATGATCGGCTTCTATTCTGCCTCCTTTATGCACCCTAGTCCACAAGCAGTTTCTTTTTTTTTGCCATTTCTATTCCCACCCTAAAGTCCAAGTTCTGCTTCCATTCTGCCTCATTGTTGAATGCCTCGTGGTCTGTGATCACCTCATGCTCATAATCATCTTGCTCTTTGTTTCCTGTACGCCCTGCACTCAGGGATCCTCTTTTGACCCAATAATACTTGTGCAACTAAAATATTGCCTGGTTGAATAGCAATGCTTGCCTTCATGTTATAAACAGAAGTTTAAACTAACCTTTCATGAACAGGTATATTTTAGGTCACTTCATCTTTGCTGCTGACTGTAAGCCATTTTCTTTTTTTTTTTCTGTGTCAGGATGCTGGACAGAAGCGATTTGGTGCCATATCTTGTTGTGTTTGTGGCATGTTATATACTGCATCAAATCCTGAAGATGAGACACAGCACCTTCTCTTTCATAACCAGTTCATCAGTGCAGTAAAATATGTGGTAAGAAGCATTTATTGCAACGCCTTACTCTTCCTTTAGGGTTCAAATAAGAAGTGAACTGCCATTTTGTATAGATATTAAATTGAACATGAGCTTAAAAAGCAAATATTTTCTATGTTATAGGGACCATCTGTAAATGTTTATTGTGCCTAAAGTACTCTGAAAATGTACCCTTTGTCTGAAATTCCTCCTTGTATGCAAATGTGGCTAGGTATAACCATTTTGCTGCAAGAGCCGCTTTTGCAGGCATGTTAAAACACATGCTCCCCGGGGTGAGCAATCTTGAGAGGCTTAGAGACCAGACCAGTGACCTTAGTTCAAAGAGTGGTGCATTTATTGGTGTGTCACACAGGCTATATACAGTGCTGTACAGTGCACAAATGAAGTAAACATTTCAAAAACAAAATCCTAGCCATGTCCCGGCAATAACTACACAAAAGATGGTCCTGAAGAACAACCTGTACAAACCTATTGTTTGTCAGGCCTCAGAAAAACACAGTGACCAACCTTGTGCTCCAGCAAATTCAGACTGTCTGTTTGCCTCACCTACACTAAATTGCCATTGAGGCAAGGTGTAAACTGTGGGGCTTACGAGAGGTTCCGGAAGGTGTAAGAGAGGAATCTGGGTGACACATAAACCCACGGACAGGACCTCTCCTGGCTCTCTACAAGACGACCTGCTACAATATGCATATGGCAGCAAAAGGCTTTAGACACTGCTGCCTCTGCAGCACTGCTTACAAGATTTGTGGTGAGATTTGGTGATGTCACGACTGTGCTGCTCACTGTTCTCGTTCCTAAAGGCTCTAACATGAGAAAGGAAAGCTTTGCCTCAATTAAAATGCCTGTCCCTTCACAGATGCAGTGCAGAAATAGTCATTAATAGGAAACCCTCAGCTGCAGGGAGAACATAGTGAATACTGGTGACTGGTCACTTGCCTTCTGCCTACCCTATTTTGGGCACAGCTTCTAGAGTTATGTTTCCATATTAAGCTTTGCTTTCTTTTATGCAGGGCTGGAAGAAGGAAAGGATTGTGGCCGAATATCCGGATGGAAAAATCATAATGGTGTTGCCAGATGACCCTAAATATGCACTTAAAAAGGTAGTTGCAATTTCCTCAATGGTTTTTTTCCCTTTTTTGTTTTCTCAAAATATTAATGTATAATCAAACTTTCCTTAAACTTTTAGGTTGAGGAGATCAGAGAAATGGTGGATAATGACTTGGGGTTCCAGCAAGTTCCACTTCGGCTGCATTCCAGGACAAAAACCCTTATGTTTATTAGCACTGACAAGAAAGTTGTGGGGTGTTTAATTGCAGAACATATACAGTGGGTAATTACGCAAGATCAATAATTATTTGGATTGTAGTTCTGCTGCGTTTCTTGCTTCACAATGTTTCTACATTACTAAAAATATATATTTATAAAGTAAATGTTTTATTTCATACTATGGTAAATGATCCATAGTACAGGGCTACATACAGATCATTTAATCCATTCATGTTAGCAGAGTATAATTGTAAATGTATTGTCTGCACTGTATTAGCAGTGTGTACTCTATATGTAGTACATACTGCTAATACAGTGCAGACAATACATAATTGCTTAATAGAATCTCCCCCCCCAAAATCTGCCCTCACTCACTTTTGTGCCGGAGAGAGCAGTTGGAGCTCCGCCCACCGGAGCAGCAGTGATGCGACGCTCGGCGAGGTAAGCGAGAGGAAAAAAAACCCATAGCGCAAGCTTCGGCTCTATGTATCAGGGCATTTTGACAAGTACTTGTCAAAATGCCCTGTATCGGGCCTGATTCCGATGCTAGCATCGGTATCGGGACATCCCTAATTGTCGGGATCCGTCCTGGCTGCGGCGCTCTCAGTATATCGCTGGCAATAGCTTGCTATATACTGAGCTTTGGGTCACAGGAGGTTAGTATATCTCCTCCCGTGACCCAAAAGAGAACTATGGGGAAGAACACCCCATAGTTCTCTTTTAAAGCTGAAATTCAGACTTGCACAGTTGTACAGGCTCATTTCCTGTATGGAAATTACTTTGATTTTATTGCAAGCTGTGTTTCTCAGGTCCGGTGGAGCCCTCCTCATTTTCTGGCTGGAGCATGTTTAGCAACATCTAGCTCATTCCTCCCCAGGCTGACTGTTCCTTGTTTGCCACTTTCATTAATTGAATTTCAGTTATTTCGGTCACAGAGGCTCAGCATCACATAAAGGCATTGCCTAGGGTAGTGTGCTTGCATATGCAGCCTAGCCTGCCTAGCAATGCACACATCTCCAGACTAACATCCAGGCATTTTGTTAAATTCCTCCCAAGAGCCAAAAATGTATTTATTACTTTTTAGATGTTTTTTCAGAGCAGGCCTTTGGGCAGACTGCAAGCTTCCCTGAACAAGTTCAAATTGAGTCTGACCCAATGACGAAGTGAGGACCGTTTCCACTCACTAAAGGTTGAACTCGATGGACTTGTCTTTTTTTTCCCAACCTGACTAACTAATATACAATGCAGAAGCCAAGCTTCTCTATCTTTAATGCTTGGTTAGGACAGAGTTCAAATCTAGTTTACAACTGCAGTACATTATAGCCCAGTGCACATGGTGATAGACTTGAGCTAGTCATTGAAGCTCCATAGAGAGTATGTTAAAACTTAAAGCATGCCAGCTATGGGTTGCAGCCTGATTGTGTGCATCCTTTAAAGTCCCCACATTAGGCTATTTATGCTAATCCTCCTTCTTCCAAAGCCAATCCTGAAGTTATAGAGAAAGTTTCTTATGGTGGTCCATTGAATGTATACTTGTCTGAACTGAATATTAGCGAGAACACTCCTGTTTTATTTGATGCAGATACAAATTCATATCACACACTTATAATAACATGTTTAAATGTTTAACATCAAGGTAATGCAGACAAATATAGAAATGAATGCACCACAGAAAAAGCTACATGTATTTTCTTCTCCTTTGTTTGGCTATCGGTCATTTTATTTATTTATTTTTTAGGGTTACAGAGTAATTGATGATTTTAATCCAGGTAATCTATCATCTGACACAGAGAAGTTATTTTCTGAGAGAGTGAAAGCTTGGTGCTGTTCTACTACTCCTGAGCCGGCTATCTGTGGAGTGAGCCGCGTCTGGGTGTTCTCAATGATGAGGAGGAAGAAGATTGCTTCCAGGATGCTGGAGTGTCTAAGGTAATTATTGCCAGGCTGTATAAGGTGATGGATAATAGGCAATGGTTGATCTGTTTGCAGATAGCCCTGCTATGATGGGACCAAAGGATAGATAAAGTTTCTGTTTAGGGACATCCACTGTATCAGGTGTCTCTGGCATGCTCTCCACTAACTGGTCAGGACTGCTTGCAGTGGGACCCCCTCATGTGGAAACCTCTGTAGCCTGGAATCATGCTGACTTCTTATATAGGGAGTGTAGTCCTTCTGATTCCTTTTAGCTGCATCTGCTGTAACTGAGGGCTGCAGTCCACATGTATTACTCCAAAGTTAAAGTGGAACTCTAGGAAAAAAATCTTTGTAGTTCCCAGCCTACTGTGTTTTAAAAAACAAACTATGCTCTAGGGCAGGGGTGCCCATAAGGTCGATCTCGATCTACCAGCCGATCGCGTAGCGATCACTTGTAGATCGCCATGTCCTCTCCTCCCGCCGCTTCTCTGGATCCCCGCTGCTCTCCCCAGCAGGGATCCGAGAAGAAGTGTAGGAACCGGCGGCGGGGGAGGATTGTTTGTGGCTCCCTGGACGGCAGAGCGGACAGCTGCAGCCAGGTAAGACATCCCCCGAAAATAAGACCTAGTGTCTTTTTTCGTGAAAAAAATAAAATAAGACAGTGTCTTATTTTTCGGGGAAACACAGTAGTACTATGTGTCCCCAGTTGTCTAATGCAGGCGATCGCACTGTGGGCGAGGGGCCTGCCTGCGCAGCCTACGCCCCCTCCCGCCCCTGAATGCAGGTGTTTTTTCGTTGGTAGATCTCAATGAGCTCGTCATTTGAAAAGTAGTTCTCCAGATGAAAAATAGTGGGCGCCCCTGCTCTAGGGCTTTCCCTGATTTCCTCCTTGGTCCAGCATCGGTGGTTCCCTTCGGCCAGGACAACACTAGCATCATTTTGAACATATACCCTTTAAGGCCATCCTGTCTAAGCGCAACACCCCCCCCTTCCCTAAGGGGCTTGTCACCTGCAGTTTGGCCTTGCAGTACTCCAGGGCTGAATGGCACTTGTGTAATGACCTGGTAAAATATCCACCCTGCCGCCTTGAACTTTAGTTGCAAATGGTCTGTTAGAAGCCTCTCATCTTTTGTCTTGCATTACTGTTTTGTCAGTGCATATGCACAGGGCCCTTTGGCTAAAGTGCTTTACTGCAGAGCTTACTTGCAAGAAACAGTTATTTTGCATGACCTTCAAGGGACAATGTATCTTTGGACCAATGCTGAATACTATCATCAGGGATGCTACAAATAGCAAATGCACTCCTCTTGTTCAGCAGAAGTCTAAGAAGCAGAGTGCTAAGTTTTCTTCATCTGTCCACACCAGGAAGCACAACTTTCGCTTGAGTATACCATCTTCCACATCAAGGTCTTCCAGACTTGGCTTTCCATCCAGCCGTAAGGTCTGGTACTTCAAAATCCACTCTCTGGACTTTTGGACAAAAGGGTCATAGCCCCATTCCCTCCTGCTGGAAGGTTTCAAGGCTTTTACTCCAACCTGTTTACTGTTCCAAAACCCTAAGTGGCATCTTAAATCTCAAGGCCCTGAGTGTTGCAATAACCCCTCAAAAATCCATGTTGAATAAGCTAGATCTGTCATTGCTTCCCGTCACCAAGGAATATCCTGGCTTCAGTGGATATAAAAGATATCTACTTACATGTGTCCATCTTTCCAGCTCATCAATGCTTCCTATGTTTTTGCTGTAGGGCCTCTGCAATAGCATTTTTTGGTCCTTTCTATTCAGGCTGTCTTATGCACCTTGGCTTTTCACCAGTGTTGTGCTTGAAGTATCCCCATTGTGGTTTACATGGATGTCCTCCTGTTGAGGGAACAGTCAGCAAAGGCACTGTGGGACAACATGTCTCTGTCCAAATGGATCCTGCACTTTCAGAAATCGTTGGATGTTCTGACATATATCGCTTGCAGTATCTGGGCCTGGTGGATATAAAGAATGTCTACTTACATGTGTCCATCTTTCCAGCTCACAAACACTTCCTGCGTTTTTGTTGTATGACCTCTGCATTTCCATTTCATGGTCCTTCCATTCAGCCTGTCTTGTGCACCTTGGCTGTTCACCAGTGTTGGCATTGTTGCATTCTCTGAGTATCCCCATTGTGTTATACATGGGTGATCTCCTGTTGAGGGAACAGTCATTGAGGGCTCTGGAGGACAAAATATCTGTAACTGACCGATTTGGTCCCTGAACTTTTAGAAATGGTGGTTCAAACATATCACTTGGAGTAACTGTGTTGGTTCTGGACACTTCCCAGGCCAGAGTTTTCCTTTTTCAGGAGAAACTTCAGACTCTCCAGTCTCACATTTGTGTTCGTGGATCTAGAAACCTTATGATATGAGTCTTAGGGGCCAATAGTATCTTCTTTTGAGGCAATTTCACTTCAGACATGTGCAGCCCAACATTGTCATCATGGGACAAATTGGTTCTGTGTCTGGACAAACCAATGCAATTGGTGCAAAGGACCAGGCTGTGCGTGTCAGGGTCCCTCCAGTATCTTGCATTAAAAGTACTTTCTTTCATTTCCTGAGAAATCCTTACATCTGCCAATCATCATGGAGGAACAACAAGTCTTTATGCGGCAAGAGTGGTAGAGCGGATCCTATCCGGAGCGGAACATCATGTTCCAGCCCTGTCAACATTCCTGGTCCAGACAGTTGGCAGATTTTTTCAGTCGACAGTATCTGCTCTTGGGAAAGTGTACCTGTCACAGGTGGGGGACACCAGATATGCGCCACACACACTTTTCCCAGTTCAATTCTATCTGACTCCATGTGATTGAATTTGGTGCTCTTGGAACTTCTGTAGCCCACCTTTTTAGCTATTCGGAGATGTGCGCTCTTGGTACTGCTTTGCTACAAGACTAAGGCATAATGATAGTAGAAGGGGTTACACCCTGGACTGGCCTCTGTGTTTGTTTTTTTTTCTTCAGTGTCCAATCCTCCTGTAGGTGGCAGTAAAACCCAAAGGTTTAACACTTCTGTGTTCCTCAGTGGACCCGGTGGGTACAAAAACCTACATGTATCTTGTTCATCATTAAAACCTGCTTGGTTTTAATGATCAGCAATGCACTGGCCCATATCCCTGCAAAATCCTTAACGTGATGCTAAACTCGGTAGTAAAATCTTAAAAATGCAAGTACCTTAACTATTAAGAAAAATGTATCTTATTTGTGTATCACTCAGCTGTAGATCCTCAAAGCATCTCTAAATTTGTGCTGACACTGTCCTTCCTTCTGGAGGGTGTCTATTTTTGTTCCCCATGGTCCCTGTGAGTGTTGTAAAGTAGCTGCCACTCCAAGCTCACTCCTGTGTTGGACTACAATTTCAATACAAATCTGTAAACTAAATGTGGAATTGAAGTGTGGTTTGTGCACGAATTTAGAGATGATTTGAGGGTCTACATCTGACACTGTCACTTCCTTCTGGAGGGTGGCCACTTTTGTTCCCCATTGTCCCTGTGTGTATTGTAAAATAACCTCTGCTCCACGCTTGCTCCTGTTATAGACGAAAATCTCACGTGTTGTATAATTTGTATTGAGATTGTAGTCCATCAAGGGAGCGAGCTTGGAGTGGTGGCTACTTTTCAACACACACACAGAGAGCATGGGCAACAAAAGTAGCCACACTCTAGAAGGAAGGACAGTGTCAGCTGTAGAACCTCAAATCATCTCTGAATTCGTGCTGAGTGATACACAAATAAGATACATTTTTGTTAATAGTTAGGGTACTTGAATGCATTTCTAAGCTGTAACTCCTGAGTTTAGTATCACTTTAACAGTTTGCAAGTATACCTGGGAGTATTGCTGCAGATTTTAAGGTGTTTGGTTTTTTTTTTTTTTTTAAGCAAGTAATTTTTATTGGACATTTTCAACAATATATGCATAAAAAGCAGGCTTAATCGCAGAAGTATAACAGTTTCAGCGACTAAAAGTCCTGTATGATATAGGTAAGTAAGAGAATACAAAGAATCAAACAGACAGTGAACAATAAAATATAACACAGACGTAGCGCATGTATTATACTTATTCATTTGTGGAACCATTGCACAACCGCCTGGCTTGTCTGCACCCTAGGGGTATTTGGGGGCTGATTTTATGCCAAGTGGACCTGTTAGCGAGTGGGGGGGTGTTAAAGGACATTCAGGGGTGAAGCAATTTTCGCTTTGAGGTACCATTCAGTGTCTTTAACCTCCCTGGCGGTATGATTAGGTCAGGAATTTTGTGCCAAAAGCGGTACATTGTTTTTCATGGAAATTTGTTGTTTTATATTGTAGGCCTGTAATTCTTAGTAAATCTTAGGAATAACTCACCTAAATCTGTCCAAACAAGAGTCCAGTAGACATCCCAGTTATGATAAAGTTTGAAACACGAAATTAAAAAATTATAATATAATAAATTATAAATAATTATAAGAAATTATAATATAATAAATAATTATAAAAAATTATAAAAAAATAATTAAAAAAATGGTCCAGTAAATGGGAATTCTGGGGGCGCAGCCTGATCCGTACCACAGTCAATAGAGTACCAAGTTCGCACATCACTGAGCTCGGTCGCAGAATCGTTGCTGTTTTAGGTCAAAAGCGGTTTTAGACCAGGTAGAAAACAGCGATAGTAAATTAGAACTACTTGCAGAATTGAGTGATAGCGATTCGTTGGGAAATTCCTCAACAGACACTGAAAGTGAGGACAGCGAGGATTCTGCGACCGAGCTCAGTGATGTGCGAACTTGGTACTTTATTTACTGTGGTACGGATCAGGCAACGACCCCAGAATTCCCATTTACTGGACCATTTTTTTTATTATTTTATTATAATTTTTTATAATTATTTATTATATTATAATTTCTTATAATTGTGAAAAAGTGTCAGGCAGGGCACTGGACAAAGCTCTAGGGACAAAATTGAAGTGAAATAGTTTGATACATAAGTGTAATCATAGCAGATTACATTGTATTGTGTGTATTCTGTGTACATTGCAACTTTTCACTTTTGAATTTCCCGCCTGCTGTGACGCCCGAAAACGAAACTAAAAGTCAGATGCCGGCTTTTAGTTTCATTTTCGGGCCGCGTACAGCAGAGGACGCCGCGGGCTCGCAGGGACAAGGTAAGTGTCACTTTTTTCTCTGCAGCCCCGAGTCTGGCTCGGGGTTTAAACGTGAATACCAAATATTGATTAGTTGTTTTTTTTTTTTTTTTGTTAATGCATATTGTGGGTTAAATGATAAACTTTTCAGTTCATTGTTATGCAACTGTAGTGCTGATATTATTGTCTTTCTCCTGACAGAAACTATTTTATATATGGCTCTCATCTGAGCAAGGCTGAAATTGCATTCTCAGACCCAACTCCAGATGGCAAGCTGTTTGCAACCAACTATTGTGGCACCAGTCAGTTTCTAATATATAATTTTGTCAGCGGACAACATCCATCGAGTTGAAGAATGGACTTCTTAGTTTACAGACAAAGCCTGTATGTTATCATATGCCCCTACAAATGAACTCAGGAGGTGAACACCCCAAGGGTTGTTCGTATGTTATTTTTAACTGGAATAAAAGGATTCACAAAAAAAAGCTTGATTTTAAAAGCAAATATTTTGATATCTTTTTCTTCCAAGAGATCATGGTTCAAATATTTTCTATACCGTACTTTAGTCATGTTAACATGCAACAAATGAGTTTGTTCATAGTGGACTAAACTAATTGTAAAGATGGTAGACTCTGATGAGTGTAAACTGAAGTCCTCATGTGGGTATATACAGAAGCACATGATGTGTCTGCAGACAACCAGTAGCTGGTTGTGACTGGCGTGTTCTCTTGTTCTGTTTTAGACCAGTGACAGCTTTGTAAGTTCTAAGGAAGAAAATTCTAATTTTTAGCAGATAAGTAAATCACTAAATAATTATCCAGTAGACCAAATGTGCAAGCATAAAATTCATATTACTTTGAAAGTTCCACTAGCTGTAAAACTCCCCCGCTGTCCTTTTCTTGCTGTTACCATTACTAATTCTTTTTCATTCAAAAACAACTTCATCCAATTTGCCTTTTTTAAAGTTCAGTTGAAAAAGAAATCAGAAAGTTTCAGGCATTTTTGTTTCATTTTCAGTGTGGTTCTAGTTTGTGATCGAATAAATTAGAGAATCCCAAAAAAATTGAACATTTTAATGAAAATATTAATCATTTGGATCACAGTTACAGTTGCAAGGGGGAAGTTGAATGGAGTGTGCTCTCTCCGCACACACACAAGCCATTATAAATAGAGTTCTTTCCGATATAAAAGCCGTCGAACAGTAATTTGAAAATGTCTCATGACCCAACCACCCACCCACCTTCAAACATTGATATGACTAAAGTGTTGTATGACCGTTGTGGGGCTCCTCTAAAGTATTGAATGATGTTTAATACATATAGAGTCTTGGTTAGTTTAAATTGCCAGGCTGCTGCAACACATGGGGGTGAATATGAACTCTAGTTCTGATTCGCAAATGCACTTATTGTCCAGTTCAAAGGGAAGGCATCAGAGGGCTGTTGCCAGATAAACCAAAGCCCCTATACCCTGAACAGCACGTTTCTTGGGTGTTGGGCTGTGGCTGCCTTAAGGACTAGATAATGGCCTTTGCACAGCCATCTTGACAAGTTATTTTTTTATTCAAAATGTGAAAGTAATTTATTGGACAGCAAGGGCAAACCTGGTGGCGCTAGCACCATCAACATAACTATTTCTATAGGTGATTACACCATTTTATTTCCCATAAGGTTTTATTGGCCACAGTAAGTGTCCTATGAACGGTTAATCTCTGTGTTAGAATCTGAAGCTACCAAAATCATAAAGGAATGCTGTGTGTTGTTTTTTTTTTTTTTGTTCATTCTAGGAAATGTCAGGTGTACAAAGACATGTAAATGGCATAGATATTGGCTTTGGTTCTCACTGAGCTCAGTGTCAAATTCTTGTTATAAGCAATTTCACATCTGTTATAAGCATTTATAAATCAGTATGCAATGAAATTATATTTTAGCATTGCAAAAAAGAAGTCTACCACTCTTGGTACATATCCTGATTATAATTGATACTTGACAGGGCTTCGAAAGCATGTACACGAGAGAGATGGGCACATTTTCAATTTGCCTGAATGTGTGCATAAAGATTTGTTATATCCTGTATACTGCTTGCTGAGATTTTTCATGCATTAAACTATTCTATATGCATACGATTCATGAATCAAAAATGGCTGAAAAGGAAGGTACACCCAATTCATTCATCTCTAGTACAGTGTGGCTCTAGGACTAGTGTTAATGGGTGGCACTACAGGGGCAATTTGGTTTTAACCAGGAGGATGGATGTCTGCCCGCCCAGAGACCACACTGATTCCCCCATGCTCACATAGACTTGAAATGGATGCATTGCAAGTCTATGTGATGTCAGCTAATTTAGCTAAAGCAATATTATGCACAGAAACATTTAAATGTACTGACACTTCCAAGCTCGTTACTGAAGTATTTTGGCCCTATGTGAAGGAACATTTAATACAAGGTACCTTGCATATGAAAAGTTTCAGTCTGGTCCACCACTAACAATCGGTGTATGACCACCATTTCTCCAGGCTAGAAAATGAAAGGACAAGCTGCACTCCATGATTTTTCATTGATCTTTTATCGATATTATTCTGCACTAGAATAACTAGTGTTATGTTTGATAGGTCAGTGTGATTTACACACTCTACAATAGAACGGGCCTTTGTCTAAGGAAGTTCTATGTTGCCCATCGCAACCAGAATCTTTATTTCTCCCATGTTTTGGGAATATGAAAAGGAAAATCTGATTCATCGCTGTGAGGCATAAAGAGAGGCCAGTAAGGCCTATCATGGAGGCGAAGACTTTGAATCATAGGCATCCCTCATGGCAAATGTGATCTGGCATGAAGCAAAGCACTTTATCCAGAATCCTCTGTTAAGATCAGTTGTGCAAGGGCAGTGATCCTGTCTGGTTGAAAATCACTGGCCCTGTATCTCGTAGGTGGGCTGGAAGTCAGGGAGTTGCTTATCCATTTAAATCTGCCAGCACAAGTAAATGTCTTCTAGATTCCCTGTAAATTACCTCCTACAGTGAAGATATGCGCTTTTTAAATATTCTGTGCAATGTATGTATACCTATGAGGATTTCAGAGTGACACTTGTCTGCTTTTCAGTCACTCTTTTTTTAAGGGTTTTATACTGTATATGTTGATAAACTGCTGTGGCCTTTCTGTAAATGTGTAGAATAAGTTGTTGGTAATATTAACAGTCACTTATAAAGCCATCCACAACTCTGCCCCCGGATATATCTCAGATCTTGTCTCAAAATATCACCCTAACCGTCCGCACTTCCATTGACCGCCTGCTTTCCAGCTCCCTCGTCCACTCCTCCCATACTCACCTCCAGGACTTCCCTAGAGTCTCTCCCATCCTCTGGAACTCTTTACCCCAACCTGTCCATCTATCTCTCACCCTGACTGCCTTTAGGCGTTCCCTAAAGACTCCTCTTCAAGGAAGCCTATCTCACCTCGACCTAACCACTGGATCTTCACATTCTCAAATAATTTATCCCCACACAGCTACCTCCTCATGGATCACTTTCCCCTCCCCTTTTAGATTATAAGCCCTCAGGGACAGGGCCCTCCTTACCATCTTGTCTTTAATTGTAATGTCTTCCTTATATTGTAAAGCGCTGCGCAAACTGTTGGCGCTATATAAATACTATGTAATAATCCTACCAGGTGGATATTTAAAAAAAAAAAAAAAATTCACCCTTCTCTTTACAATGACAACAATGGCACCTTTTAGAAATGTTTAGTGATGGTAATTTACAAACACAATTCTCGATAATTGCAGGCTTTGTATTCTTTGTCTACCTTATACTTATTTTCCTCTCCATTCTTCTCATGGTGGCCAATTTCACTAAGAGCAGGTGAATCCATCTCCATTTTCTTCCTGGAATTCTGACACGTGACTGGGAAACAAATGCCTTTCCCCCCAAGCTCTTACAAGATTTTGCAGTTTACGGATGAGATTTCCCAGGATGCATCTTAGGCAAGGGCTACATCACCAATCCCTAAGGGGACCAGGAAGTGGAAAATCTATTTGTTATAGCAAAATATCTTTAACTAATGAACGTAAGATGATTACATATCAGCATGTTGATGTATTTTTTTTTAGAGAAAGGAGGTAGAGGTCTACTTTTAAGACCTCATCTGATGCCAGCTTTGGGTGTAAGGTCCTTAAGGCAGCTCTTTGAGCTCCAGGCAATCCCTTGTTTTCTGTTTTCATAGGCCTGTTAGTGTTTGCTGTGTTGCCCACCCCTCAGTTGTACTGCTTTTGGATATGCCGAAGGTGAATGACTTCCTCTATCCCTCAATGGATGAGAAAGGAAATAGTATTTTTTGTGCTCACCTCTAAAACCATTTTCCTGGAGTCCACTGTGTGACACACATCCCATCCCTCTGTTTTTAATTGTGCTCTCCATACGGCTTGCTACAAAATTGAGGCATTCTGGAAGTAGTAGGGTTGGCCTCCAGAATTTCTTTGCCAGTGTCCTATCCTGTAGGGAGAGGTATAACCTGTGAATGATTTCCTGTGTCCCTCAGTGAACTTCGAGAAGAATTTCACAGTGAGTACAAATTGCTAACGTCTCTGACTTTCTAGTATTAAAAACCTGTTGAGGGGGGAAGGATTCCCCTCTAGGTCAGCTATATACTTTGCAGATTCTGTTCTTTTATATGGAGATCAAGTCATTGCTAGCATTTTATGAAAGTGATTGGGAAGTAGTAAGGCATGCCTTTTTTATAATACCATGATCAGTTTTACCGTTAAAAGCTGCAATCCCAATTTTCTATACTTTTTTAAGTTGATTGAAAGGAACATTAAGGTGCACCAAATGCCTTTGCAAACCCAATAAAAAGTAGTAGCGACATCATCACTGTGGTGCACATAACCTGTGCAGAGAGCTGAGCTGTGGGAGGTTCCCAGCACGTCCACGTACTACAGGCTTCATGCAGAAAACTGCAGTAGGGGGCAGATACAAGACTAGTCACTGTGCAATAAGAGAGAGCAGCAGTGAATGGTCCTAATTACAGGAAGCTCCTGCTCAGAGGCTAAGTATCACACTTACTGCACTGATCTGGAAGAAATACACAAAGATTCAGATAAGAATCCACACGCCTCTTGTAACCAACATTATTTGCTTATCCTGAACTTTAAGTGCTCATTGGAAGTCCTCTTATTTGCAGCACTCCTAACAATCAATATGGTTTTAATGATAAGACTGGCAACAATCAGTTAAAACTCCAGTGCAGGGAGTGCCTGTAATTTCACCCCAACTCTGTGAGGATGTCATGGAAAGCAGTGACTCAATCAGGATAACAGGAGAAATTGGATTCTTAAAATGTTTGTACATGTGGCTGCACGGCATGGAAAAGAATGTTATCTAGTCACTTGAGGGATACTGCTTTGATGATTATACGCCACCTATAATTATACTGCCACCTACAAGAGAAAAGGACACTATGCAAATAGAAAACTGATATAACCCCACCCACCTCACACCTGCTTGGTGTCCTCAGAAGAATGAATGTCTCATTTTCTGATAGAAAAACATTCAAGGAAAAATATATCAACACCTACCGGTAGAATCAGGCCAACAAATGCAGATTTTCTCAGTTTTAAGTATAGTGTTCACTCTCCAATAGTCAGGGCAGTCCAGTTGTGAGTGGCTAATGTGCTTTGTGCTGTATTGATGATTGTTCCCCTTTTTTCCCTGAGGCTGTGCGTTTTACATCAGGTTGTATCTGATTTGAGATGCCAGATTCTCTGTTTAGTCTGAATTTGCCTGTATATCCCCTT